GTCCTGCTGGAAAGGTTTTTCCCTGTATCAAGCCTGACCCTCTCTTTCTTTTCAACCCACTGCCTCTTGTCCTTGTGTCATGGACATGAGCCTGACTGTCTTTCTGGGAACTGTGCAATGGTGCTGCATATTCTTCTCTACTCCTCTCTGAACAAGCCCAGCTCTTGAAGCCTCTTCTCACAGTACAAGTTCTCCCACCCTGGTGGCCTTGATGGCCCTCCACTGAACTGGCTGCAGTTTGTCAACATCTCTCTGGCATTGTGGAATGACCAAACCTAGGAAAATATTCTGGATAAATCATGCTCAGCAGACTGGCTCTGCTCCGGCTCATACAGCCCAGGATGCAGTTGGCCTTCTTAATTGATTACTCATCTTTTGCCTCATGGAACCCAAGGACCACCAAAGCCTTTCCTGCAGAACTGCTGTCCACCTAGGCAGTCTCTGGCCTATGCAGTGGCATGGGCTTTGTGCACCTCGAGGGCACAACTTACTGGCTATTCTGATGTACATATTGGCCCATTACTACAGCTTGTCTTCGTTTCCTTTGGGATGGCCACCCTGCCCTGCAGTGTAGTGCTTGCTCTCCTCAACATCGTGTCATCTACGAATGCTCTGAAATAGCCCTCTCTTATCTCCTCTGGGTCATTAATAACATGTTATTTGGTGCAGGTTGCAGTCTATGGAGTGTATTGCAATATGTGGCAACCCCACCATCTACAGGCTTCCAGGCAGATACCGCCCATTGACCATGTCCCTGCAAGGCCCACTATTCATCTGGTTATTTACCCATGTACTTATCTATCCAGGCAGACCATAATGTTCTCACTTGGGAACAAAAATATTGCAGGGGGGTGATGCGTAAAACTTCACTGACTTCCAGGTTAAAGAAAACTGCTGGACTGCCTGTGTCCAGCAATCCTGTCCTTTCATTGCAGAATGCAAAGAGGATGAGGAGAGACAAGCAACCCTCACTACAAGAAAGATACTGAATTGCTGGAGCATGTCGAGAGGAGAGCAACAAAGCTGGTGAGGGGTCTGGAGCACAAGTCTTACAAGGAGCGGCTGAGGGATCTGGGGTTGTTTAGTCTGGAGAAGAGGAGGCTGAGGAGAGACCTTATCACCCTCTACAACTACCTGACAGGAGGCTGTAGTGAGGCAGGTGTCGGCCTATTCTCCCTGGTAAAGGGCGATAGGATGAGGGGAAATGGTCTGAAGTTGCACCAGGGCAGGGCTAGGTTGGACATTAGGAAAAATTTCTTCCCTGAAAGGGTTGTCTGGAAGGCACTGGAAGGGGCTACCCCGGGAAGTGGTGGAGTCCCCATCCCTGGAGGTATTTAAAAGCCGGGCAGACAAGGTGCTTAGGGAAAGGGTTTAATGGTGGGATGGCAGGGTTGGGTTAACGGTTGGACTCGATGATCTTAAAGGTCTTTTCCAACCTTAACGATTCTATGATTCTATGACCCTGGGTAAATCCAGTCCCCTTCTCTTTCAGACACCCAGAAATGGGATCAGAGGGAACATGCTCTGGGGCACAGCCTTTCGCTCCTCTGCACAGCATTTGGGCATTTCTGAAAGGTGCATGCAACCCACTGGTGCATTTCCCCCATTGCCTGGGATTCCCCACAGATTCCATGACTTTTCAAAGGCGATGGACAGTGGCTTCATTGTCACATTGGCCTGCTCACTCAGCTCCCTGGGGTGCTGCCCCTCCTCCCCCACAGACTGGTAAGGATTGTGTTAGCTCAAGTCATCCCTGACTTGATCCCCATCCACTGCTGGCTGTTCTCTAGAGTCCTGCCCTGAGTCACAGAGGCCTGGGAGACCTTGCTGGGAGGGACTGAGGCGAAGAGGACACAGAGAAGCTCAGGTCTATCTACACCGGCTCTTACTGAATTCAGCAGTGCCCACGCAGTATCTGTGCTTCTCCCTTAACTGCTCCTGCAGTAGCACACACACATTGTGGTGCCCTTCAGTTGCCTTTCAAGGTCAGACTGAGTTTTGATCTGGACCCTTGCTGAGCTTGGAGGCTGCTGTCCTTGAAGACCAGTGGTACTGAGCTCTGCAGCCATGTCACAGCTCTGTCTCCTCAGGAATGGCTCCAGCTCTTCCTGTCTGTGCCCCTGGCCAAGGGCATTGCTGCACATTTGGGCTGAAGCCCTGCAGCTGTGGAAGCAGGCAAGCTCTGACTTGCCATAAGGAACCTGGTACCAAACATCCATGATGCCGTGTGTGCAAAGGCTTTTCTTCAGAGCAGAGGCATGGCTTGGACACAAGAGATCTGCATGTATTTCTAAGACCAGGTCTAAAGACCCAGGACGAAATGCCTAAATTCATGGAACTGAACACATCCTCTCAGTTTGGAGAAATTTGTTAACTCCCTGTCACCTTCCAGGTGTCCTGTCTCATGAATGCACAAAGAACATGATTCTCATGGCACAGGATTTTTCTAAGAGGAGTAACGACACTGCAGGAAAGGAGTGTCTCTCCCCAGCTGAGGGAGAGAAAATCAGGGATGACTTCAGCCTATGTCACAGCAGGTTCCCCTACAGCCCCAGGGACACCTGGAGGGAGCCCAGAGGGGGCAGAGCAAGTGCTGCCTTGGGCTGGTCCTCTGCTGCTGAGCTGGGCTGGGCTCCTGGGATGGAGGGAGCTGATGGCAAGTGGGCAGTGATACAGAGAGACAGCTCTGCCCAGGAGCAGCTCCTCTGCAAAGCGCAGCAGGGCTGAGGGCACTGCCTGCAGGCACTGAGGGAGAGGAGTGAGGCAGAGAGAGGTTAGAGGCTATTTGGGGTGGGAGGATGCTGAGAGCTCACTGGAAGAGAAATCTTCACAGCCCTGTACATGGTAAGTCTCTGGGTGAAGGGCAGTGTAGCTGGTGTACCTGAAAGGGATATCCAAACGGTACATCTCACCGCAGATATAATCGTTCAGAAGGACTCTCAGTTTCCCCGTTGTAGAGGAGGAGGATGTGCTGCAGAGCAGGGACTTCCTGCTGCAGCATCAGAATGGGGCATGACGGCTGCCTTCTCCCAGGGACCACTCCAGGGTTTTGCACCTGGGTGTGCAGCCAGTATTGCCCAGGGCTGTCACTGAGAGCAGGGTCCTGGTGACCCAGGGGGCCGTGCACCAGGGCAGGGACTCTGTTGCCTGCCAGGGTGGGCACTCAGCCTGACCAAGTTGATCCCACAATGCTGTGAGGAGAAGCTGTGATTGTAACCTGCGAGCCCTGGCAGGGTAGTATCCTTCTGCTGTTCAGAGGGTGCAACATGGGTCAGGGCTGCTCAGACTTCTACATCACCCAGAGGACATTTGCAGATTGGTCATTTTAAAGATGCATGTCAAGGTAGGGGATTCCCTGAAAGGGTCAAAATCTGTGCTTTGGGTTTTCTTCTCTTGGTTGGCTGGGTAGGAAGTGGGAGATGGGAATTTATTTCTCTGCTCTGGAATAGGCAATGAGACCCCAGTTCTCATCAGGACTTATCTGAGCTGCTCCTCCCCCCCCTGCACACACGGAGATGTCCCTGGGCAGTGCCCTGCTGCCAGGAGGTGTCTGCAGGGCAGAGCTGAGCACACAGCAGGTAGGATGGTCACTGTGAGCATTCAGAGCGGGGAGATGTGGGGACAGAGAAACAGGTCCTGGCCAAGAAGAGCTCCAGGCAGCAGAGCCATGGGCAGGAAGGAAGAGAGAACTGCTGCCAGAAATGCTGTGGGAGGAGGGATTCAGGCATCTCCCTGCCATCCCCTGCAGTGCAGACACTTTCCCTGGAGCCACCCCCTGGTCTCTTCACTCACACAGCAGAGCCCCTGCCCTTAATGTCATGGAGACTTGGCCATGAGTTGCCTTCCCAGAAGCCTGGCCACCAAAGAGGAGAAAACCTCCAGTGTCTGACTGAGTCTCCCTCTCCTGCTTCTCTTGAAAAGGGGTCCTTGGGCATCTTCTCCTCTTCTACCTTCCACCCTTGTTCTTACTGTTGCACTCCCTGGGGTGTTTGGGGGGTGAGGATTCAAGTGCAGCTCAGACACCAATGTTGTGTGTCCTGCCATGCACATCTGCCCATGGAGAAAAAGCATCCCACTTGCGTCGTGTGACCCTTTGGGGCACTGGGTACTGCAGTGTGTGTGGCTGGCAGGGATCTCAGCCTCTCTAAAGGACGTAACAAAGAGAGGAGATGGGAGTCTTTCCTTGGGAGGTCCTGCTGGGCTGCAGGCTGCCCTCCAGGATGGCAAAGCTCTCCCGTGGCATCTCTATGTTATGCAGAATCCCCCTGGAGAAGACCCCTGGGTGCTGAGGCCACTGAAATGCTGCTGGGTGGCTGTAGGTGGGCAGCTACCATGAGCCCTGGGTGTCCCTGGTTGGGAGGGCAGAGCTGAGATCCTCCTCAGGTATGATGGGCTGAGGGGTCTGGAGATCTGCACTTGGGAACTGCATTCCTCTGCTCCCAGCAGTGCCCTGTTTCTTTTGGGGGGAACCCCCGAGTGCAATAGGCCTGCAGCTGAATGAGCTGCCAGCACAGGGCAGCTGAGAGCAGGGCTGATGGACAGAGTGGATGTCCTCCCTCTGCACTAAGGGACAGTCCCTTTGCCTCTCAGCACCCACAAGATTTTCCTGGCAGTGCAGCAGAAATGCCAGGGATTTCTGCATGAAAACCACTCCTCAGCTGTGGTGGAGCAACTGGGCCAGAAGAAATAAAACAAAATCCCCACAGCTCTGCTTTGCAGTCAGGTGAGTTGGGAGTGACAAAGCTGAAAAGCTCTTTGATATCATGACAGAATTTAATCTGAGATCACCCTGAGGTCTTCTTACCTATAGTTGTAGGGCATGACTGACTCCTACAGACCCTCATGCTCCCTGGGGTCACTGAAGGTCGTCCTGAAAAGGGAAAGGTGGTTTTGGGAGTTTCTATAAGAAATTGAATAGATTCTTATCAATAGATTTTTATCTTCCCTAAGTTCTCACTTCCTTTACCTCCTTCTGCAGATCCTATGTCCAGAGGGACAAAATGTCCAACAGCAGCTCCACCACTCAGTTCCTCCTCCTGGCATTCGCAGACACACGGGAGCTGCAGCTCTTGCACTTCTGGCTCTTCCTGGGCATCTACCTGGCTGCCCTCCTGGGCAACGGCCTCATCATCACCGCCATAGCCTGTGACCACCGCCTCCACACCCCCATGTACTTCTTCCTCCTCAACCTCTCCCTCCTCGATCTGGGATCCATCTCCACCAATGTTCCCAAGTCCATGGCCAATTCCATCTGGGATACCAGGGCCATCTCCTATGCAGGATGTGCTGCCCAGGTCTTTATATTTATGTTTTTGATGTCAGCAGAGTATTATCTTCTCATTGCCATGGCTTATGACCGCTACGTTGCCATCTGCAAACCCCTGCACTATGGGACCCTCCTGGGCAGCAGAGCTTGTGTCCACATGGCAGCAGCTGCCTGGAGCATTGGATTTCTCACTGCTGTGCTGCACACGGCCAATACATTTTCACTTCCCCTGTGCCAAGGCAATGATGTGGAGCAGTTCTTCTGTGAAGTCCCCCAGATCCTCAGGCTCTCCTGCTCAGACTCCTACCTCAGGGAATTTGGGCTTATTGTGTTTAGTGTGTCTGTGGGCTTTGTTTTTTTCATTTTCATTGTGGTGTCCTATGTGCAGATCTTTAGGGCTGTGCTGAGGATCCCCTCTCAGAAGGGGTGGCACAAAGCCTTTTCCACATGCCTCCCTCATATGGCTGTGGTCTCCCTATTTCTCAGCACTGTAATGTTTGCCCACCTAAAGCCCCCCTCCATCTCCTCCCCATCCCTGGATCTCATGGTGGCAGTTCTCTACTCAGTGGTGCCTCCAGCAGTGAACCCCCTCATCTACAGCATGAGGAACCAGGAGCTTAAAAAGGCCCTTTGGAAACTGATGCAATGGGTGCTATTTCACTGGCAATAACCTGCCTCCCCTCTTCTGCACATTTCCCAGATTTTCTCTCAGGCCATAATTCTGATTTTTTCTACAGTAATAACTCTACTTAGAGATAATTTTCTTAGTATATAGTCCTTTTGTTGACATAGCTTCTGTCAGATAGCAGCTCCATCATTAAAAGGATATCTCTTTGTTGAGTACCTGAAGGCAGGGCTATTCCTCCAAATTTGCTTCCAGGAAAATGTCTTGGGAATTCATGTGTCTATTCTCCTTTTGTTCTCATTGCTTTTTGGGTTAAGCTCATGAAATAACTGGTTTCAAAAGTTCTGGATTAAAAAACCCTGTTCTTGTTGTCCAGTGTCAAGGGAATTGGTCCATGAGCTCCCCGTTATCTTCTCAGTTTGCTTAATGTACGGCAGGATACTACTAAAATTAATTTTGAGGTGTGAGGAGAGAACAGGGACTCACCACGTGCCCTGGAGTTAGCAGGTATGGAAAGGTGAAACACCCTCAAACATGAAATCCTGCGAAGGGAAAGCACTAAAGCGAGGTCTTCACAAACAAGAACACTGCAGCGCCATGGGAGTCAGCAGGGACTTGGCAGGCAGAGGGAGGGGGGACTGGAGAGATGCAGGAGCTTCTTGAGGACCCCCAGGGCTGGGCCTCTGGTGCTGTCATGGGGAGTGGGGCTGGTGGGAGCAGAGGAGGGGGAAATGCAGTTGGTGTTGGGGATTGCCTATAATCTGAGTCCAGGAGATCTCAGTATCTTGCTTGCTCATGCCCTTGGGGCCACACCAGCCCTGGGGCTGATGAGGAGCCTGAAGCCCACTCTCTGCCCCCCCCCCCCCCCCCTATCAGCTTCTGTGCCCTTCAGAGGGGCTGGGGCTTTGGTGTGAATGCCCAGAGCTCTGCAGCACTCTGAAGTGGGCTCTGTTGTGGGGCCATCCCAGACTGGGCTGCTCTGCTGGGCTGGGGAGAGATCAGGGGAGGTGGGGAGAGCTGGGGAGGGGCTGGTCTGGGATGGGAGGAGCCTGGGGAGAGAAAAACGACAGTGTAGATCTAAGATGTGTGAGTGTGCAGGGTAGGGGCAGCCAGCACTCACCTTGCAGAGCCAGGTGACACGGTGAAGGAAGCAAGGCATCAAATGGGCAGAGGAGAGGGTCCTGGTCTGCGCCATGTACCCTGAACACCCCGGGGAAGCTGCCCCAGGAAAACTGCCCCATATCAGTCCCACACATTGGACATTTCCATCTCTGGCCAGACACCCCAGCCCTGAGGAGGGACCTTTGCTGCATGGTCACCTTTGTCCTCCTCTGGGGCTCACTGATACCCAACTCCACTGCCGTGACCAATAAAAAGGGAAAACAGTTGCCTACTGACCCTCATTACACACCAAAGCCCATAGCTCTTGCCACAGCTGATCTCTCAGCCAAGCTCTTTCTCAGACAGCTCCAGCTCGATCAGGTGTTCATGGCCTTTTCTTGACAAATATAAGACAAGTCCACTGATTGAGATCCCACCAACTGGCTAGGTTCCTTGCTCCAGTTTGGCTCTGAGGGATTTCTCAAAACCCCAGCTCTCTCAGCCTTTCCTTGTCCATAATGTGTTCCAGGTCCCAACCATCCTTCTGCCCTCAGGCAGGACTCACTCCAATCTGCCAGGGTCTTTCTTGTGCTGGGAAGCCCCATACTGCACACGTCAGTTCTGATGTGGTCCTGTGGTGAGTTAACCATGGCCAGCAGCCAGACAGCCTCTCAGCTCCTCATGCACTCTCCTCATTCAACAGGACAAAGGGAGAAAATAAACCAAAAAATCTCATGGGTCAAGATAAAGACAGGGAGATCACTTACCAATTACTGTCACTGGCAAAAACAAAGTAATTCTCCTTTATACTCAGAGAATCATGGAAATGTCAAGATTGGGCAGGACCTGTGGAGATAATCTAGTTCAACCCCCAAGCTGAGGCAGGGTCAGCTTGAACAGGTTTCTCAGGACCTTGTCTAGGTGGTTTTGGAATGTGTCCATAGATGGACACTCCACAACCTCTCCGGGAAACCTGTTCCAGTGATTGACCACCTTCATTGTCAAAAAGAATTTTTGTGAGTTCAGATGTCATTTTATATACATTAATAACGTCCTTCAAAACCTTTTCTTCTCCAGACTGAACAGTCCCACATCTCTCAGCCGTTCCTCCTATGAAAGATGCTCCCGCCCCTTAAAACACCTTTGTGGTCCTTTGCAGGTTTTGGTGGTCAACAGCTTTCTTGTGCTGGGGTGCCCTTCACTAGAAACAGCACTCCAGATGTGGTCTCATGAGTGCTGAGTAGAAGGGAAGGGTCACCTCCCTCCATCTGCCATTTACTAACTGAGCCCAGGAGGCTGTTGGCCTTTGCTGCAAGGGTGCATTGATGGCTCATGTTCAGGTTGTTGTCTTCAGGTATCCCAAGGTCCTTCTCTGTAGAGCTGTCAGCTAGCTGGTGAGCCCCCAGCATGATGTTCACGGTGTGGTTGGATCACAGGCTGTCCTCCCCTAGAGACCTTCTCAGCAGCAGCTTGTCCTTCCTGGAGATCAGCTCCACCTCTCTCAAAGGCCCCACACAGTGCTGCAGAGTTACCTGGGACAGCAAACTCCTCTCCTGCCAGGGCTGCACAGCCCAGGCCTGTTTCTCCCTGGCCTTGGGGACTGCAGCTTTTGCTCTCTTTGTGGGAATCTCGTTCATCATGATGTTGCCACCTGCAATCCACTCCAGCATGCCTCTGCTGGCAAGCAAAGCCTTTCTGCACATTGGCTCCAATCTCTTAGTACCAGGTTTCCACATGACAAATCTACCCTTGTCCCTGGTGCCACATTTGAGGTGCTGCTGCCCAAATGGCCACCAAAGCCCACTGGGGCACAGACTGCAGGACACCCATGGGCCATCCCAGAGCTGTGACGTTGATGGAATAAGAGCCCACAAGAGGAAGGACAGATCTCTCCTTGAAAGGATACACAACAGGTTAGGCGGGCTTGTGTGAGGGTCAGCTTTTAAATGGGCTGCTCTTCTGCTCACCTGGATCTGGCTCTTCCAAAAAAGGAAGAGCTGGTCAGGGATGTGAAGACTAGTGCTAGCCTTGTCGGTAGTGACCCTGAAGTTGTGCACTCCCAGATCCCCAGGGACGTGGGGAAGGACACCAGCAGAGCACAGACCCAGCACATCAGGGGATGAGAATTTGGCCTCCTAAGGGCACTGGCAGGTGGGATCCTGTGGGGCAGTGTCAGGGCCCTGAGAGTATCCAGAGATCTTCATGGCCCTTCCCACCCTCACCTGCGGGATCCACCCACACCTCTCTTCCATGGACCCAGGAGACCATTGAAGCCCACTTCCAGCCCTAGCTTCATCTATGCTGCAGGTGTACTGGTCTCCAGTCACAGCCAGAGGCACAGCCTTGCCTGTCCATGGATCCTGTGGATTTGCACTTGCAGACTTACTTCCCAGCTTGGTTCTTTATGGGGTGTACAATGAAATGGCACCATTGCCCTCCAGGTGCCGGAACCCAGAAGATTCAGAGCCCTAGGGCCTTTCTACTTCCTTTCTTCTCATCGCCTCATCACTTTAAGAGGAGAGGGAGGAAAAGCAGGTGAGCTTTCTGGGTGCCAGGGATTGAAACAGGGGAGCAGAGCCTTCACATGTGAAATGATCTAAAAGCTACACTAGGTCAAATGTGTTATCGTCAGCTCCTTCCTATGAGGCATGCAATCTCTCCATCTCCCTCTCCTTCAGTAGTTCAGTTGATAGTACCCAAGCCAGAGGCTTTCTTTCCATTCTATTTACAGCCTAAAGCACGCCATGGTCTGGAGATACGCCAGGAAACTTGCAGCAGAATCACATTCCTCTGGACAAGAAGGTGGATGCTCCCAGGAATCTCAGGAAGCATGGTCTAATGATAGTTCTGTCCTGCGAGGTGGTCAAATGTAAACTCTTTCCTTGGATGCTGACATTTACTGAGCAACCTAGTCTGACCTCAGGGCTCACCCTGCTTTGAGCTGGGTGTTGAACTCGAGACCTCCTGAGCTCCCCTGCACTCTGAATTGTCCTGCGATGTAGATAACCTTACCTCCACCTTAATCTCTTCTAGTAGGGTGTGTGGTAAGGAAAAGCCTTATGGGTGGGCTGGTGTTGCAGATGAGTTCAATGCACCTCACTCAAAACAGAGAAGCAGCAATATCCTTACTGAGGCAAAATAATAATTTGACAGAGTTCAATAAATTCTGTGGAATTTAACAAAGTTTAACAGGGGTTTGACAAGGTTCTGTAAGTTTGATGGCAAGGGTCACCTTATTAACGACTGCATGGAAGAAACAGACAAAGGAAAATTTAGACAGAATTGCATTTGAATGATTCACAGAGAGACTGGAGACACAAAAGGGTAAGGAAGACCCTCCCACTGAGTCATGAGGTCCAGAGTGAACCCCCCTGTTCTCTAAATTCTTTATGGAGTCTAGGTGTGGCTAGGTCCAGTCTTAGTCTCAGACTTGGACAACAGTTCGTGCCTAATTGAATTATCTATGCAAAGTTTATAATACAATTGAATAGCTGCAGGGTTGAGTAATGTTTCATCAGTATTAATTCAGCATGCGATCAGTCATTTACCGAGGATCTGTTGCAAGCAAGGGTTGGTAAGAAAGGATCTCTGAGTCTCAGGTAAGGAGTCTCACACCCTGAGTGGTGTCCCTGCTCAAGGGGAGAGTCACCTGGCATGCAGTCCAGCTGCAATTCAGGGAGAGCTCCAGCGGGGCTCATCCTGATGGTAATATTGATAGAGTGAAGGAGGTGAATGCTGGTCAATGTGTCAGAGTGACACCGTGAGCATCGATGCATATGAGCTTGGAACACCAGTCATGTGACTGACACATGAGTAGCGGGTGGCTTTTTCAAGACTCATTTATCGAGGAACAAAGAAAATTGTGGGTACAAGGAGCCTCATGCCTACCTTTCTTGGGGGGGTTGACAGTTGGACTTAATGATCTTGGAGGTCTTTTTCCAACC